TCACTGGAGTCAGAAAGACATGACATCTTCAATTAATTACTAACAGAATCCTTGAGAAGAAAACCTCTTTGAGCCTCGGTTTCCTTATTTGTAAGTTGGGGGTAGTAAGTGTCATTGTGAAATTAAGGAAGATAATACATGCAAAGTACTCAATAGAATAAGTGCCATGTAGTAAGCATTCCGTAAATGTTTGCTGTTATTATTTATTACACTGTGATCTGCAAATATTAGTCTCAGCTAAGTTTGTGAATATCCAAAGCCATATGATAAACTAGAAATGAGCTATCCATTTCATGAGGTAGTTCTAGTGTTATTTAAAGATATGTATATGGATACGTATTCAGAGCAAATTGAATGTTTGTAACTGCTACAATTTTAACCATATATGAGATCAGCTATCCCCCATATTCATCAATCCATTCACTCATCCATCCATTCATGCATTTTTCATTCAACAAATATTTTTGTGCACCTCTTGCTCTCCAGTATTGTTCTAAACCAGTGTTTCTCAACCTCCACACTGATGATATTTGGGTCCAAATAATTATTAACTGTGGGACGGCTATCTGGTGCATTGAATGACATTTAGCAGCATCCCATTTGATGTCAGTGACATCTCCCACCAACTGTGACAACCAAAATGTCTTATGGCATTGCCAACTTTCCCTTGTTGGGCAGTGTTTAATTGCCCCCAGTTGAGAACACTGTTCTAGGGAATGCAAACATGAACAAGACATTGTCCCTGACTTGATAAGCAAACATTTGGGTGGGGGAGGCCAATATGGAAACACATGATTACAATATGTCACTATCATCATCATCATCATCACCATCATCACCATTAATTAAGAACTTACTGTGTGTCAGCAATTTTACATTTAGTACTTAATTTCAGCCATAACCTTATTAGCTAAAATTATAATCAATAATAATAATAATGTTACAAATGACAAAATTGAGATTCAAAAGTAAAAAAGACTTTCCCAACCTTAGTTATTTAAATTCAATATATATTGATACATATACACAAGTAAGGATATACAACAGCTAAGAAAGGTAAGAATGCCTTTGTGGTCAATGAAGAGAAGCACACCTCATTTACAAACAATAAGAACAGAGTCCTGTGGCTTTGACAATTAGCTTTTAATGTGGCTGGAACTGGACGCAACTTGGTTGGAAGCTTCTGCTTCCTGTTTCCCCTTTAATACCATATATGTCTTCTCATTCGTCCCTACCACATCCACCTCAACCCCCTGGCAAGGTCAAGTATATGTCTTCTCCAACTTCCCTCCTCTAAATTACAAATACAGAGTTTATTATACTGAATTATCAATTCTCTGTAAAAATATCTGTCTCCCTCATGGGTCTATAGCAATTATTGTGGTGGCATATTTTTAAAATTTAATTTAATGTGAAAGCACATCCATATAAATATCTTCAAATAACACTAGAACCACCTCATGAACAGATTATTCTACTTCATTATATGGCTTTGGATATTCATTAACTTAGCTATGGCCCATATTTGCAGATCACAACATAATATGTCATAACAGCTAACTTGAGGGTAGGACAGGTGTCATTCATGTCAATGGCATTCAGCCCTTGGAACAGTGCCTGGCATGTAGTGGATGACCAATCAGTATTAGATGGTTTAGATAAATGTATGCATGCACACATACATATATGACGGATGGATGGATGGATGGAAAAAAGAAATGGCACTGAAGAAAAAAATCCTTGTAAGCTTGTTTTGTGGAGAACTGAGAAGAAATTCTTTCTCTCTAAGCTTCAGTATCTAAGCATAGACTAACACTCCATAATTCTCCTCTCTACCCAGCATATGTCTGACTGAATAGGGAGGGGGAATGATTTATCCCTTCATTCCATTCTTCATTAATTGGCTTTTATCACAAGGGTAAATCCTTCATGCAAACAGAAAGAATTACTGTAAATTATTACCACTAGTCCCTGATTATCTAACTCTCAGCAGTTCAAAATATTAAATAGCTATAGAGATCCAAGTGTTGAGATTATAAAGATCTTTTCACAGCTAGCATTGTAAAATTGCATCTTAGTATTTACGGTTTGGTCTCAAAGAATTTTCAAGAGGATGAAACCTCAAGCAATCTAGTCCAACACCTTCATTTCAAGAACTGGAAACTAAAGTCAGAGAGGTAAAGCCCCTTCTTCACAGTCACCTAACTAATCCAGGGCTGAATTAGGGCTTGTCAAGTCTACTGAGTCACTGTTTACTACTTTCCCAATGGCTTTAGAGTGAACTTAGATCCAATTTCTTCATAGTACAAATGGGGCATTTGAAACTAAGACAATAAGTGACTTGCCCAAAGTTATAGAGGCAAAGAAATTTCAGTGCATAATGAAATTTAATGGCAGAAATTGTTACTGATGCCAAAATGTTTTTTTATTGACACATCAGTCACTGGTGAAGACAGCAAAAGTTAGCTCCTATTGAAAATAAAATAACAATGTATAAGTTGTAGTCCTTGATTCAAAAGTTAATTTAATAGTAAAATAGTATTCATATTTCATTTCTACCAAAAAGAAACAAACACTGAAAGATTAGACTATTATGTCCTTATTTCCAGAAATAAATACCAGTTTGTTTTGGCTGGGGCTAGTGGAATTTCGACTTAATAACAAAAGTCATCTAGAGCTGGAGGATGGTCCTATGACCAGTAACAATGCTGATCCTAGTCACCAAAAACGGGTTACATTCATTATTAGCATTTTCTATGCATCATAAATTATTACACAACCTCTTTCTAAAATTACTGAAACAAAATACTTGATGTTTTAAGAGTAAAGCTTTAATTCTCCTGAAACTTGTATTATCCAGAACACTTCATTGCTAAATTTGCCAAATAACTGAAAAATGATCAAATTCATACATTGATGTATGTGTAATATTCAAATAAATGATATCAAAGCACTATCAAGATAAAAGGTTTCGCTTAATAAAAGTTCCTGAGAACAAATACATAGTTAAGAGTAAAAGTACACAATATAACAACAATAGGCTTTCCCTGACTACAAAAGTGCATTACAAATTACCAATCATTTGGATACTTTTCAAGACAATATTTATGGAATGGATTTGGCCATAAAATTGAATGACATTTTTTATGCTTTTAAGTCACTGTTATTACATATAAGGTTTAAAAATTAAATAGATTTTGCTTATCACTTTCAACCCATGGTCACAATTTCTCTACATTTAGCCTATGGTTGACCTATAGATATAAATATCTGAACAAACAGAAAATATTCCAGTATGATGATTTTGAATTTGTTGAAATCCTTTCACAGCCCTTATGTATTTTCTACAAATATGGAGACCCAGAGAAAGTAAAGGACTTGCCTAAAATAATACAACCATTTAGATGTAGAGCCAAAAAGAATTAAAGGTTTTTTATTTCAGCCCCAAAAGTAAGAGGCATTTTGATGAAGGAGAAACATCATTAGGCTAAGACTTGGATTCCAGTCCTAGTCTTGCTACTGAAGCAAGTTTCTTCACCCTTCTGGGATTCAGTTTTCTCCTTCAAAAATGAACTCCTGCACAGTGGTGGCAGTCACTGTTGTTTGGTTATCATGACATATTGAAGAGCCCTTACTGTGGTGCACTTTACAAATGACACTCTGGCCACTGCCCCAGATGTTCAGATGCCAGAGTCAGGCAGGCATGAGTTCAGATCACAGCTCCATCACTCCCTAGCTCTGTTTCCTTGAGCAAACTAATTTCTCCATGGCTCAGTTTTCTCATCTACGGCGGAAGTAATAATAATTCTTAGTTCATAAAGTTGTGCAGGGCTTAAAGAAGATAATGCATGCACCTAAAGCATTGACCCTGATACATTGTAAATGTTCAATAAATATGAGCTAATCTCACTTTAACTTTTTATTGGGTTGGCCAAAAAGTTCGTTCGGGTTTTTCCAAACCCAAACAAAACTTTCTGGCCAACCCAATATTAATAATCCTGATAGAAGTAGAATGGTGCATAAGACTAAGTAGCCTCTAAGGATTCATCTTGTTCTGTCTTCCCCCATGACCTCACTCTGGGGAATAATATCATGCTCCTTGAATTCCTCCTATAGAGATAACTATCTATATGTGTCTAATTTAGCAGCAGGTAATCTGTCATCAAAATGACGGTTACTTATTTTAAATTAATCAGGTTTTAAATGATTTCTTACATATTCAGGAAAATTTTCTTGACATTTTGATGAAATTTTTCTATTTCCATTTTAGTGCATCAGTGATTTATTTAAATATTAATTATGTAGTAGTATACTGTTGAAAGTTGACTGAGAAAAACAATTTAGGGTATGTGGGCATGTTGTTTGTGACTCTATATTTACAGAAACTGTTAATTAAACTATAAACTCTTTTTGAAGGTTTGAGAGGTAAGACTGGACCACTGGGCCTTGCTGGAGAGAAAGGGGACCAAGGAGAGACTGGGAAGAAAGGACCCATGGGACCTGAGGGAGAAAAAGGAGAAGTAGGTCCTGTTGGGCCTCCTGGACCAAAGGGAGACAGAGGAGAGCAAGGGGACCCAGGGCTGCCTGGTGTTTGTAGATGTGGAAGCATCGTGCTCAAATCTGCCTTTTCTGTTGGCATCACAACAAGCTACCCAGAAGAAAGATTACCAATTATATTTAACAAGGTCCTCTTCAATGAAGGAGAGCACTACAACCCTGCAACAGGGAAGTTCATCTGTGCTTTCCCAGGAATCTATTACTTTTCTTATGATATCACATTGGCAAATAAGCATCTGGCAATTGGGCTAGTACACAATGGGCAGTACCGGATAAAGACCTTTGACGCCAACACAGGAAACCATGACGTGGCTTCAGGGTCCACAGTCATCTATCTGCAGCCAGAAGATGAAGTCTGGCTGGAGATCTTCTTCACTGACCAGAATGGCCTCTTCTCGGACCCAGGTTGGGCAGACAGTTTGTTCTCTGGATTTCTCCTATATGTTGACACAGATTATCTAGACTCCATATCAGAAGATGATGAGCTCTGATGAGGACTGCTGGTCTGAATGTCCCAAGATCCTTGTGGCAGACACACTGATTTAATCTGGGGCCCTGGAAGGTGGGACAAGCAGAAATGAGATCCAAAAAGACACCCACTCAGATTCCAGAGAATTTACAGATAGTTCTAGCAGAATTTATTAAAACAGGTTGAACTACCAAACCATTGAAACCACACCAAAATGAATTCTATAAAACAATAACCCCAGATATGTTTTCTCAAAAGTGATGTTCATAAATATTTAAACAAATTAAAGACAATGTTACAAATTTTCTATTAAATTCCCTGAGTGCTAAAACCAGCTGGCAATGATATTATATCATTAAATCTTCATACAATTACATTTTTGCCTGTTACTTAAGAGAGTCATAACATCCCAAAGTCCTTGACAATTCTCAAAAAGTAAAAACCCAAAGGTAAGAGAAGCCAAGTAATTTCAAGCAAGCTAAAGAGAAGTGATTATTTTACTATATTATTCATTCCTTCATGCTTGTATATATTCACTCAACAACTCTTTAATGAGCCCATATGAGCCAGACACTCTGATGCTGGGTCAGATTTAATGATTTAAAACAATATCTGTACCTTCATACAGGCTAATGTGTGATGAGCACACTCTCACAGTTCAGTGTGATGAGCACCACGGCAAATAAAGTGACTGGATGCTGGAGGCATCTGTTCCTGGGGGTGGGAGGCAGAGAAGATTTTACACATGGAAGGATATTATGTGTGCTAAGTGTATATTATTAAGTAGGTGGGAGGTATGCAAATAAAACAAGGAATTCAGAAGCTGCATTCTCCCCATCTCATCCTCAAACACCATCAGGAATGGGTGAAAAATCTAGAGATACCCTGGGAGGGGTAATGGAAATGAAGAGAAACAAGTAACAGAGACCAGTCAGTAGATCATTCTCCTAAATTCTTTATTGTGATGGTTACCCAGGACATATATTTGTCCTCTTAGCTTTCTCACAGATAAGAGCACTACTTTACATTATAGTCAGACATTATTTCTCATGGATTTCCCAAGTATTAAATTCAAATAAAGCAAAGCATATGACCATTGATTTATGAATAAGTTGATGGGAGGAGTGAACAGGAGGAGAAGAGGGTGTGACCAAATATCTAAGCAAATAGCTGTCTCTTCAAAGTTTCACACATACCTTAGTTCCACTTTCTCTTAGTGTCAACATCTTGTTCACGACTGAACTGCAATTCCTCAGTTAATCTCACCCATAATACTCTCACCCACACTCCCTTGGCTGATAGTAATGGTGTTCTCTTGCTCCTCCTTTTTGGCGTCATCTGACCCTCCTTCCATGTATTCCTATCTTTACTCTTTCATTTAATAAATATCATTTAACGCCTCTTATGTGTGAATCATCACATTGGGTTCTGTGAAGGCAGAGCAACATCAAGATGAATATAGAGCAGCCCCTGCCATCAACTTTCTAAGGACATAAGAAAGGAAATGACATGCACACAAACACAAATACCTAGAATTCTGGAAATAAACATGCTGAAATATGCTAAGTGCTAAACTGGAGATAAAGACAAAATATTTTAGAAGGAATGCTGAGGGAAACATGTTAACTCCAAAACTGGGATGTAAGAGAAAACAACTAGGGAAATCTCTACCCCCTTGGCCTGAAGTGACAGATAAGAAGTGGAGTGGCCAAAATGGAGAAAGGGCACGTCCAACAGAGGGAACAATGGGGACAAAGCATGAAAGTGAGAGCAGAGACCAAAAAGAAGAATCCATAGGTCATATTTCAAAAGTCTCAATTGTCTACCTGAGGATTGGGGAGTTTATTCATAAGAAAGTGTGAAACCCCTGTGTGTTCCAGAGCTGGGTGCTACTATTATCAAGGGTGAAATTTACAATGATCAAGCAGCTGTACATAAGGGCAATACTTCCTTCTCCCATCTTGCAGATCTATCTTGCTTTCATCATCTTCCTCTGCCTACCATGCATTAACCACTTGTTTCTCTCCTCCTGAGTCAGGACATGTATCTGGGAGACCAAGGTCAATAAAGATTAGACAAAGAAGAGAGAGAAGAGGTGTTTGAGATAGTCACCTACCTCTAAATAGCATCTGAACCTGGAATTCCAAACTATAAAGTATTTTAAAAAACAGCCAACGGAAGAAGCTAATGTGGGGAACAACAAAATATGGGCCCTTTGAAAACTATGGGATTTGCTGGAGAAACTGAAAATGGAGAATTCATTGCAGACAGTCAAAACCCATAAGAATATTATGTAATTTAAATTTTCTTATGATCATGAACCTTTAATGCATTCATTTTTGGATGTTGTTTACTTACTTATCTCTTAAAAGTTTTTCATTACAAAACCTACTTTCAGATCCAAAAGGATTTAAAGCCACTTACAAAGATTGATAAAATACAGAAAGAACACATTAGTCAAAAACACATGAGCACAAAAAAAAAAACCAGTTAGCAGAAGGAAAGAAATCATAAAGATCAGACCAGAAATAAATGAAAAAGAAATGAAGGAAACGATAGCAAATATCAATAAAACTAAAAGCTGGTTCTTTGAGGAGAAAAACAAAATTGATAAACCATTAGCCAGACTCATCAAGAAAAAAAGGGAGAAGACTCAAATCAACAGAATTAGAAATGAAAAAGGAAAAGTAACAACTGAAACTTTAGAAATACAAAGGATCATGAGAGATTACTACAAGCAACTCTATGCCAATAAAATGGACAACCTGGAAGAAATGGACAAATTCTTAAAAAAGCAAAACCTTCCGAGACTGAACCAGGAAGAAATAGAAAATATAAACAGACCAATCACAAGCAATGAAATTGAAACTGTGATTAAAAATCTTCCAACAAACAGAAGTCCAGGACGAGATGGCTTCACAGGCGAATTCTATCAAACATTTACAGAACCTGTTCGTCTCAAACTCTTCCAAAATATAGCAGAGGGAGGAACACTCACAAACTCATTCTACAAGGCCACCATCACCCTGATACCAAAACCAGACAAAGATGCCACAAAAAAAGAAAACTACAGGCCAACATCACTGATGAACATAGATGCAAAAATCCTCAACAAAATACTAGCAAACAGAATCCAAGAACACATTAAAAGGATCATATGCCATGATCAAGTGGGGTTTATCCCAGGAATGCAAGGATTCTTCAATATATGCAAATCAATCAAGGTAATACACCATATTAAAAAACTGAAGGGGAAAACCCATATGATCATCTCAATAGATGCACAAAAAGCTTTTGACAGAATTCAACACCCATTTATGATTAAAAAAACCTCCAGAAAGTAGGCATAGAGGGAACTTACCTCAACATAACAAAGGCCATATATGACAAACCCACAGCCAACATCGTTCTCAATGGTGAAATACTGAAACCATTTCCTCTAAGATCCGGAACGAGACAAGCTTGCTCACTCTCACCACTATTATTCAGCATAGTTTTGGAAGTTTTAGCCACAAAAATCAGAGAAGAAAAAGAAATAAAAGGAATCCAAATCAGAAAAGAAGAAGTAAAACTGTCACTGTTTGTAGATGACATGATACTATACATAGGGAATCCTAAAGATGCTACCAGAAAACTACTAGAGCTAATCAATGAATTTGGTAAAGTAGCAGGATACAAAATTAATGCACAAAAATCTCTTGCATTCCTATACACTAATCTTGAAAAATCTGAAAGAGAAATTATGGAAACACTCCCATTTATTATTGCAACAAAAAGAATAAAATACCTAGGAATAAATCTACCTAAGGAGACAAAATACCTGTATGCAGAAAACTATAAGACACTCATGAAAGAAATTGAACATGATACACACAGATGGAGAGATATACCATGTTCTTGGATTGGAAAATTCAACATTGTGAAAATGACTATACTACCCAAAGCAATCTACAGATTCAATGCAATCCCTATCGAACTACCAATGGCATTTTCTACAGAACTAGAACAAAAAGTTTCACAATTTGTATGGAAACACAAAAGCCAAAGCAATATTGAGAAAGAAAAACGGAGCTGGAGGAATCAGGTTCCCTGACTTCAGACTATACTACAAAGCTACAGTAATCAAGACAGTACGGTACTGGCACAAAAACAGAAATATAGATCAATGGAACAGGAAAGAAAGCCCAGAGATAAACCCACGCACATATGGTCACCTTATCTTTGATAAAGGAGGCAAGAAATTACAATGGAGAAAAGACAGCCTCTTCAATAAGTGATGCTGGGAGAACTGGACAGCTACATGTAAAAGAATGAAATTAGAACACTCCCTAACACCATACACAAAAATAAACTCAAAGTGGATTAAAGACCTATATGTAAGGCCAGACCCTATAAAACTCTTAGAGGAAAACATAGAACACTCCATGACATAGATCACAGCAAGATCCTTTTTGGCTCACCTCCTAGAGAAATGGAAAAAAAAAATAATAATAAACAAATGGGACCTAATGAAACTTAAAAGCTCTTGCACAGCAAAGGAAACTATAAACAAGATGAAAAGACAACACTCAGAATGGAAGAAAATATTTGCAAATGAAGCAACTGACAAAGGGTTAATCTCCAAAATTTACAAGCAGCTCATGCAGCTCAATATCAAAAAAAAAAAAACCCAATTAAAAAATGGGCAGAAGACCTAAATAGACATTTCTCCAAAGAAGATATACAGATTGCCAACAAACACATGAAAGGATGCTCAATTTCACTAATCATTAGAGAAATGCAAATCAAAAGTACAATGAAGTATCACCTTACACTGGTCAGAATGGCCATCATCAAAAAATCTACAAACAATAAGTGCTGGAGGGGATGTGGAGAAAAGGGAACCCTCTTGCACTGTTGGTAGGAATGTAAGTTGATACAGCCACTATGGAGAAAAGTATGGATGTTCCTTAAAAAACTAAAAATAGAACTACCATATGACCAAGCAATTGCACTACTGGGCATATACCCTGAGAAAACCGTAATTCAAAAAGGTACATGTACCACAATGTTCATTGCAGCACTATTTACAATTGCCAGGACTTGGAAGGAACATAAGTGTCCATCGACAGATGAATGGATAAAGAAGATGTGGCACATATATACGATGGAACGTTCCTCAGCCATATAAAGAAATGAAACTGAGTTATTTGTAGTGAGGTGGATGGACCTAGAGACTGTCATACAGAGTGAAGTAAGTCAGGAAGAGAAAAACAAATACTGTATGCTAACACATATATTTGGAATCTAGAAACAATAAATAAATGGTTCTGAAGAACCTAGGGGCAGGACAGGAATAGAGACACAGACGTAGAGAATGGACTTGAGGAAACGGAGAGTGCAAAGGGTAAGCTGGGATGAAGTGAGAGAATGGCATGGACATATATACACTAACAAACGTAAAATAGATAGCTAGTGGGAAGCAGCTGCATAGCACAGGGAGATCAGCTCAGTGCTTTTTGCCCACCTAGAGGGGTGGGATAGTGAGGATGGGAGGGAGATGCAAGAGGGAGGAGCTATGGGGATATATGTATATGTATAGCTGATTCACTTTATTATAAAGCAGAAACTAACACACCATTGTAAAGCAATTTTACTCCAATAAAGATGTTAAAAAATATATTAAAAAAAAAGCAGTTGAGAAGAAAAGGGCAAAACTAACCAAAGTGAGGCTA